TCTAGCGTTGTAAGTCCGCAGACATACAGCTGTGCCACTGGGGGGGGGGCGAAGCTCTAGTGCTCACGTATTTTCAGATTTAAATATACATCACACTCTAACATAGAAAGCGTAAATAAATCTAGTTTTATAGATTTAATGGCCAAGAAAACGTACAACGTCATCTATTGAAAGCTACAGAAAACATTTTTTCTTATCTTTGTCAATAAAGTGATTGCTAAAAATTAGTTTATGCGCTCCACACACATGTACCCTCATAAAATTCTTAAAAGTGTATTATTATATATGACTAGCAGATGCACGTTGAAACAATTCAATGAAAAAAATAAAACCCGATGCCTAGAATCATCGCGTATATGCAATATGATTGTCTAGTGTGTCGTTTACAACCATCCTTTCCATGTATTATTTCAATAAGGAAAATTGTTTTGAGTTTCTTTTTAAGAAAAGGAGACTAACTATAATGCATTGTTGACAGAAATTTGGTTTCGATGCAATGTTCTTGTGTTCTTAACAAATCACCAAGGATACCAGAAACGGATATTAAGAATCACGCCCCCAGCCCCACCCCACCAGTGGCTCATCAGTAATACTGAGGGCTTCAAACGCCAAATAGCTCCTTGTGTGAGTTTTGTGCTTAACAATAACATTTCACAGCTAGAGCACTTCCCTATAAATGTTTATCTTGTACTACATTTCATTACAATGTTACTACTATTCTCTTACCACATTAATGTGGGACTAGAATAATTTTGATCCATTTGATCCATCATCTATTTATTTTCATTTTGGTTTTTCATTTTTTTTTTGTACCGTAATGTGAATGATTAATGTGATGTTAATAACTAGAAACTTTCACTGGCCAGGTGGTTATGGCGCGTAACTCGCAATCTTAGGGTCGCGGGTTCGAATCCCCGTCACATCAAACATACTCTCCTTTTTAGCCGTGGGGGCGTTATAATGTGACGGTCAATCCCATTATTCGTTAGTAAAAGAGTAGCCCTAAAGTTGGCGGTGGTTAGAGATACTAGCTTCCTTCTCTCTAGTATTTCACTGCTAAATTAGGGACGGCTAGCGCAGATAATCTTCGTGTAGCTTTTCATGAAATTCGAAACAAACCAGTTTCAGTTATTTTATTGTTATATTTTCTGTCATGAATATTTATAAATTACATATTTTATTTACTTTATAGAGTTACTATTATTAATGTTGTAGGTTTACCTCAGTTCTCTTTCGAATAGAAAAGTGATACTCTCCAAGCAACAATACGAGTTTTCTGTGTAGGGTTTGTTATCGCCCCCCAGTGGCACAGCGGTATGTCTACGGACTTACAACGCTAGAAACCCGGGTTTCGATACCCGTGGTGGGCAGAGCACAGATAGCCCATTGAGTAGCTTTTTGCATAACGACAACAACAGGTTTTGTCGTACTTTTGTCATTCCGTTTCCACCATATCTTATGATTCTCTAATTATTGTATATATATATCTATCTATTTATATGTATTTAACTATTTTTATAATGTTGTCTTTCGTCCTTTGTGTGGTAAAAAAGTTCTGTTTGGTTATTTTTAGCTACCTTTAGGTCCCAACTTTACAGGATCTCAACTGAATCCACACGAATTTCAACAACAACAACAAAATCTTCAGGGGCTAGGACAGCTCCTTTTTCTTCAACATGGGCAACTACCTCCTAGCGTTCAGGCTCAGCTATTTCTTCAGAGTCAGGTACTTTTCAACGTCTTGAACGCATTACACATAGAAATACAAAAATAAACAGAATTTTCATACCTAACAAGAATTCCAAATGTGACTGTAGATTTTTGTTTGTTTTCTTTTATGAAGTAATTGAAAATGTCAAGAAAATAGTCTATATGCTGCGATACCGTAAGTATTCAGTTATTAGGCCGGTTATTAAATACATGCTTTTTCTATTGACTTCAAAATACTTTATGGTATTTACTTATTGCGTCTGTACAATTTGGATGAATTTCCTAGATTAATGGGGTTTTTTTTAAGTCAGAAACCTTATATTATTTCGAAAGATTACTTTTATGAAAATGTTCTGAAATGTTTAAAGCGTAGACAACTCTGATTTTTCTTTGAAATGCGCTATAGTTTTTTGTTGTTTCTCATGGTTATTTATGCTTTGTGATACAAACATTATTCACAACTCAGTTAAAACCATAACTAGAGAATGTTCATCGAACAGTGTCAAAAATGCCCCTGAATGTATGAAGTGTGTTTAGCGGTATATCGGAAACCCGAACTTGGGATCTTGAGATGCGCAGCCTGACATGCTAACTATTATTCTATGTCTAGCTTTCCATATTTTTATGAAATGCTTAGATTACACAAAATGATACTCTCCAGCTGGTACTTTTCCTACCTATTCACAGAAATCAGTTATTAGAGATGCATTGTATAATACGTTCATCCTAATACGAGAATGAGAAATCGCAATTCCTTTGGATTAATTTTCTAAAATTATTAATAAGTCTTTCGATTTTAAATCATTTTTCCAGGGTCTTCTGATGCATCAAGCATTACAAAACCTACAGTTTCAAGCTGCCGCTTCTTTGAATTCTGGAACAGCCAGTCCACGAACAGCTGTTACAGCGGCTCACACCCATGAACCCAGCAAACAAGAGATCATCGAGCCCCAAGAGACACTACAAACCAAGGTTGTTTTTTAACTGTAAAGTAATATTGTTCCTTTTCTAGTAAAGTTAGTAAATTATTTGTGTGCTAAGTAAGCTTTTAAAGGATCAGAAAATTGGTAATTTAATGCGGGAATTCGTTTAATTTTGATTAATGGATTAGGTGGTCACCAATGTAATCTTTATACAAACTTTTTTCAATACTTTTTTACTTTGTTTCAGTGCTCATTAGTATATTATATATATATTGTCACTTACATGGAAAACAGATATACACAATTTATGTGAGTCCTAATATCACTGAGCATGCATTTGCCAATATTTCATGCATGTTATATATTTGCATGGAATATTATATCGTACGTCTGAGGCTATCACATGTTATGTTCAATGCATGAAAATTTTAATATGGATAATTAGTATCTAAACATATACGCATAACCATACATTACAAATATTAAGAGCATAGACGACTTATGTTAAATATTACAATATACAATAAAACGTGACTACTAAACTTTATGTGCGAAAAACAGCTATTGTTGCATTACTGTTTTATTTATTTTTAAGAGTTAAGTTTTCATTACTCATATATATACACTTGCTACGTCTCTTTTTTGGGGCGTTGTTTTCAAACTTCTTTTTTCCAAATGTATTTTAAAAAGTCTGAACATGTCTTTATATTCTGTAACAATATTATATTGTCATTTTATTTAAATTGCTTTTGTGAGAGTATAATTGTGAATGAATAATTCTCAAGCAAGGATCCGTCACTTGCTAATTCAAATAAGATTTTATTGTTTGTCCGTAAGTTTATCCTTACTTTTCTATCAAATTACTACGCTTATCGATTTCTATTTAAAATATCATTACTCCGACCAAAAATATAAATCCTAATTTATTTGTTCCTCCATTGGATGATCTATTTAATATATATTTCTGGTTGGTGACATGACTTTTTCAATTTGACTAAAACATGGTCATTATGAGTTCCTCATTTCAATTTGACTAAAACGTGGTCATTATGAGTTGCTCATTCAATTTGACTAAAACATGTCATTATGAGTTCCTCATTTCAAATTGACAAAATAAAAAGCCTGTCTGTTATATGTTAATTATTTTCAGTTGATGAGAACACGACCATTATGTTTTTCTTATTTCAAATTGACTAAATCATGATCGTTTATATACATTTTACTTGATAAAGATGTTTATTCTTATATCTATTCTAACTTTAGTAAAGATCCTCTTTGAGAAGGGATGTAAGTTTCAAAGACAAACACGAGCCGTATGGCGATGAAAGGTCCACCAAAACCCGTTGATGAAATGGGACTGGGATTTCATTGTTCAACAACCCCAGGGTTTAAATCTTATACTAACCAGAGTGTATGGGTCTTAGATTCCACTTACCGAATGATATCCCATCATACTGACTATTCATTCTAAGGCAGACCAAGAGCAAACCTGGGAGAGATATATGTCGCGATGATATATGCATATTGTGGAGGCAAAGCAATTCATTACTCCTCGAATGATTTATATAGTTAAACATTGTGTAACTTTGTGCAAAAGTCAAAAGAAACAAGACTATTAGACTATATAGCGAGCTACTATATACTTTGTCTTCCTCATCTATAAGTACTCACATACCCGTACTGCACATCGTTTATCCACCAACAGTCCCTTCTCTAGTTTTTGGGGCAGTTGGTTGCTTTCTATTTGCTGAGAAGCTCCCTTTTTTTGCCACATATCTCCATCATAATCTGCCAGGTCCTACTGTTTCATCTACTGATGATATGACTTGGTGAATAGTTGTTGCATTTCACAAAGAGGTTCTATGCCTTGCACCCAATCGTTTTCATGATCTTTCACCTTTGAGTGCTTGCTGGCAAAACGACTTCTGTTGGTAACGTTCATCTACCAATGGCACCTAATTCTTGTCTTTTGACAGGGCTGGGTGCCTCCCTTCACAGTGAAGATCTCTAATACCCCAGTGATCGTCGAATTATTCTATGAAAGCTCAACATATCACCTACTAGCAAACCATTTTTTGCTGGTGGATATCATCTACCACCAGCTCTTTATTTTTGGGTCTCAGCACAACAAGGTGACTCACAACATAGAAAGACTCTCCATTGCTCCACCAATCCCTCCTTTAGTCAGTTAATGCTCACTCTTTCACCTGCTGGCAAAGCAGCTCATGTTAGTGGAGCTCATCCACCAATAGCGCTTTTCCCCTCTTTACCTTTATCGACTATATGCAAGGTTCTGCTTCTTTCGTTGATAATATCTAGGAATCCCATAAAGATCATACCACTCAGTTTTTGGATACCACGCCCTTCCTACTGCCTTGATCATTCTTAGTCATCTGCGCTTCACTTGTGCTGAGCTCTGTTTCATCAGCCCATCTAGGTGCACCAGATGGTATTTATTCTCCTTTTCAAGCTCAAGGCTGCAACATGATGGCTGCCAAGGATATCTGCAGCATTGGCAAAACTACAGAACAAGTATGGGGCTTTCCCCAGATTTTGCCATCGTACCTGCAGGCTGCCCTGCTCAATCTCTCCTAGGTTTTATACCTTATATCCTGCTGAAACGTTCATTTCTACCTTTGCTATAGATAGAGAATTCTCACTAGGGTGTGGAAGAATTTAGCCATTCAGAGACAACACAAAACTTCCTGACAGCCATTACCCTCTAGTCACTAGACCAAACTTTCGCTTTCCCTTCTACTATGTGGTATTTTCTGGCTTGTGAATTCCCTCAGGATCATTTTAGAGCTTACTAACTGAAGGTTTAATAATATTGAATCACAGAATGTGTTTCGAATTCATTGCACAGAAAGAGTGGATACACAAATTTGCAAATCAAAAATATTTATCTTATTTAAAGACAAAACACAAGGGCAAATGTTTACGGTGGATGTGTTGAACTGGAAAGAGAAAAGTGAAGGAATCTTTAATTGTTTCTCTTACCAGTTCAGTGTACTCCTTTTTTTAAGCTATGCTGAAAGTAAAATTAAATGTAAAATATTTTTAAACAACCCCGAGAAGTTAAGTTAAAGATAGAAAAAATCCAAATGCTTAAGCTCTAAATCAAGCAAAACAAACTCCAGCTCTTCCGAAATTCAGAGTCTACTATAGTCCAAAATTAAGCTAAAACAAAGTTTGTGAAAAGTAAAACAACATTAACTTTTCAAAAGCTCTTAAAAAATTCTGCAAAAAAAAATTACATCACACAAAGTCAGGCTTGAGGACGCCACCTTCATCTGCTGCAATCCGAGCCATTATTCAATTCCCCTCTATCTCAAATCGTTACGAGTTATATATATCCTCTAAGAAAACACGACTAATTGCCAATTAGAGAATTTACATCACAGCACTGGAAAAAGGGAAATTTAGTGGCTTACTTGATTTACCAAACTTAGCTGAAAGAAATAGAGTAATTTCCAAAAAATAACATATTAACTAAGGAGGAGAGCTAAAGCATGGTACAATCGAGTACTAAAAGGTATATTGAATTGAAGGAGTTAATGAATAGGTGTTACCATGTGTTAGTATATCAAAGAAAGTGAACAATTTCAGCGGCCCCAAGTTGTTAATCAGTGAAATACATTGTCGCATTTAAACTTAACAAACTTAACTTAAAGCCGTTGGTAACACACACAGGTGAGTGTAAAACAACAAAATGATAGTTTAGAAATACCATAAAGAAAAGGCTTAAATCGGTTTTTATTCTTACAATATCATACAAAGTTAAAAGTGTTTCACAATTTTCACTAACTAACCTCTTATAATTCACCAGAATGCTCCAGCTAGTTCACACGTAATATCTGAACACCAAGAAACTAACCCTGTAGAAGTCACAGACCTGGAAGAATTGGAACAGTTTGCCAAAACTTTTAAACAGAAGAGGATAAAACTTGGTAAGCAATATACATGTAAATTATTTCAAGCGTATAAAGTTATGAATAAAACCTAACATAGCTAGTGCGCTCTTGTTCAAATGAAGGGGATAATAGGCTTCCTACTAAATTCAGTAATTTGTAAACCATAGTATGATTCAACGTACTTTTTTTTCAAATAAAAAAACTATAAGTAGTTAATCAAAAATGAAATAATTTTTAAATGTTAAAGTAAGTTTTTACTAAGAGTAGTTTTCTACACGGTGTATTTTAAGTCAGTTTTTGACATGTCGTGTTAAAATATTTTTATCTTTTCACGAAAAATTAATTTTTGAGTTGAGGTAAGATTTATTTTGTCACCAGTAATAATATTATGACAAAGACAGCAGTCATTATTGTTTTTCTTCTTTAAAATATATATAAGAAATATATATATATATATTAGAAATGTGATATGTTATAATAAATACCTCTTATCGTCTAGAGGTGAAAATTGATGAGTTAGTAATTTTTACATGCTATCTATATTATCTGGTAAAGTTAAACACTTGTTGTCTATAATCCACCTAAAAGCTTATTTTGAAATACTTTGCGTATTTTTACTTTCAGTTTTTAAAGTAGTACTGATCTGATAATACTACTAACCAGTGTCGTTGATAAACCGATATATTTGCTGTAACATCTTTTCTTTTCTGTGTTTCTTGCAGGATTTACTCAAGGAGATGTTGGATTAGCAATGGGAAAACTCTATGGGAACGACTTCAGTCAAACTACGATATCTCGATTCGAAGCCCTAAACCTTAGCTATAAAAACATGTGCAAGCTTAAACCTCTTCTTCAAAGATGGCTGGAAAACGCTGACAACTCTTTCAGTGACAATTCTGTCCCCCATGTGAATGTTCAAATCGCACCAGAAACATGTTCACGTCGACGAAGAAAACGAACCAGCATTGATACCAATGTGCGATTTGCTCTAGAGAATGCTTTTATGGAGAACCAAAAACCTACCTCAGAGGATATTGCTCAGTTAGCTGAATCACTGTCTATGCAGAAAGAGGTTGTTAGGGTATGGTTTTGCAATAGGAGACAGAAAGAAAAGAGATTTAATCCTCCCACGACACCAGCAATGTCCTCTCCTTTGAGCATAGCTCTTCCTGTCGCTGCTGCTAGTATTTCCATGTCTACCGGTCGTACGCCGGCGACTGGAACGTCATCCAGTACAGTTCCTTCTGTCACTAACGTCATCACTTGTCCAGCTACCTCATTTTATCCAACCTCGTAAAGTGCCAATGTTACGTGATAGCATCTTTTGTGACAGAATTAACTTCTACATTTACTTCAGAATGAAACGTTAATGAAAGGGAAGTCTGGTTTTTAAAAAAAAACAAAAAAAACAGTGCCCTCATCGTTGTGCTTTACGTAATTTGTTGATAGAAATAGTGTTTGTTGTTTTAATTACACATTAAAATTTAGTTATTTGATATTTGTCGCGGTTTCTAATAGAATTGAGCATTAAAATATTTAACCAAACAAAATTAAATTATCTAAGTATGAATATTCACACGAAAGTCTAAACAGTTTGAGTGTTATTTGAGTGTTTAACGTACATATATACATGTGTGAACTAAGTGGAATTATTTTTAGAAGACTCAGGGATAAAATGTTTCTTCAATTAGTAGTAGTGACTCAGAAGTTTATATGAAGTATATTGCATAGACATACATTTATATAATAGATATATATTCATAATAATTTTCAGAATGTTATGTCCAACAATCTTTCAAAAAGAAATTACCACGTGCAGATCATGTTTTAACTATTATTTTGCTTAAATATCTTTACATTCAGAGATTCAGAATAATTCCGCTAAGAATATTATAATAGTTATTTCTGCATCTGTGTAAGTAAGACTAATCTTTGTTCAGGCTTCCAAAGTTAATATAATTCCAAATGTATTTTTGAAACGCGAGTGTGTCGATACGTTTTTAGTACATAGATGTTATTTATGAAAAATTAGATGTTTTCACCAACGTGGAAGGAAGGGTACATTCGGGTCGTCGGGATTGCGCTGATAAATCACCCGAGTGTTCAGTGTATTTTGTAATAATTACTTGTTGTAGAATGGTCCATCCTACTTTTTCCATTACTATTTTGAAGTGCTGCCCATTGATTTGTCTTGTAGCCTAATTTACTCTATACATTTAGATCTATTACGAGAACCAGTATAATTTTTGTAAGTTTCTATATGTTATGAACATGTGGATATTCATGGCTATTTCTATGATGTCCCGAAGTTGTAGCTCATTTAAAAAAGAAGAAAGAAAAAAGAAGTCGTTTCTCTTATTTTTACAGAAGCAGAAACTTTTATATAAATGTTTGTTTGTTATCGAATATTTCTGTTTTTACATATCCTACAAATCATGATTGTTTAAGTTTTCCGTTTTGTCAGGGATAGATTTTATCTTGTCTAAAACGTGTCTTTACACAATAAGCCTTCTATAAAATATATCGGGTTTTTCTCCACGTTTCGTCATGTTCTGCCAAAATCTTAGTACAATTTTTCCTGCCCCAGGGCAAACCCCAACATATTCCTACTTACCTCAATATATTGTTTATCTACTGTTATCAAAAGCCTTCCGCTGTTTTTCATTAACCACAGAGTGGAAACCTTAAATATCCCATGAGATGCAAAGTCACAAAGAATTTGTATCCATTCGATAACATGAATATGCTTTCTCTTGATATTTTATTCCCACTTTCACTAAATACTTTGTTTGTTTGTAGTTAAGCATAAAGTTGCACAAAGGGCTATCTGTGCTCTGTCCACCACGGGTATATAAATCCGGTTTCCAGCGTTGCAAGTCCGCAGACATACAGCTGTGCCACTGGGGGCATATTAAATACACACCGACGATGAAATAATATATTACCTGTTTACCAAGGCAATGGACCACAATGTTGCAAATTAAAGTGTTTTACTTCTTGGCTCCCTTCTTCTATTACCGTATAATCTGTCTTTAACACAAGTTTGTTTTTATCTACCACAAGTTGTTATTTTAAATCAAAAGCGTATATTTATGTTTCAACGAAATAAATAAATAATGTATATCTGGTGGTTTTGTATTTCTTGTACTGTATGCACTCAGCCCTAAAAAACAGTATTTACTAGCTGGATGCGTTTATTAGTTTTCCAACAGAAGACACATTTTTTACAAACTATATTTAATTATTTCATCGTCATGTGTCCTTGTTTTTAGACACAGTGTTGAAACCTTTATCGTTTTTTATAAGTTTGTGTTCTCACATGTAAGAACACGTGGACTCTAGTATTAAGATCAACAATGCTCTTTTTTTGTAACGTAATCATCACAGATATTTCGTACGTCCATACGACAACGGATCGTCATTCGCCATTTTCCTTCAGTCATAAGACCTGCATCTTAATAACTTAATATTTATGCGACAGATTTTATGAAACACAGGTTGACTATTATGTGCTCTACATTGTAACTTTATAATATTTATTCCTTCCTAAGGTGTCATATTTATTGAAATTTATCTAGTTTGTTGATCGTGACTTAATTAGAATAAAGTGAGTAGCTTTTTAAACAGAAATGTATCCAATAAAGAGCAGTACACTCACACACACACTCTCTTCCTACTCCACAAGATCTTGTCTTGAAGACAACTTTTTCATATTCCTAGGCCATAATTCTTCACTTAATTCCAACAATATAGTACTTTCCATACAAATTGGCCGTTTTTAATATGCTATCACCAAAACCATATAAGGTTTCAAGTTGGGAGTTTCTTTTTACTCCGAAAAGGCAATTCACTCACTGTAATACTGAAGTTACTATGGTTTATAAAAAAATTTAGGATAGAGAGGGTTCAGTGCGATTATATTAAAACGATTTTGGATATGCAAATTAGCAAACACTACCGCCAATTTGAACTTGGCATAAAGAGCAGTTTGTACAAAAGTTACAACAGCTTGAAGAGTTCTACGAGTTTGTGAAGGGTTTATTTGATATATCACAATCAGGTCGTTGGCTAGTATAAAGTCACGGTAAAATGTACTGTATCAGAACTACAACCTGACATTGTTTAGCTTTAAGTAGGTAGTATGATGGCACCTCTGAAGAATATGTAAAAGCTCTTTCTGACGTAAACTATTCATACACTCAGACTACAAAGATGAAATGTGTTCAGATCGGAGATTTAAAATTTCTAAGACGGGAATATCCCTTATACTTAATAGCATTATAAAACAAAGAACAAAGTTGTGACATCAAGACCTTCCAAAAAGAGACCTGCAACAAGTCGAATCACAGCTGTGGTAAGTAAAGTGTGATATCTTGTCACGGTTAGAATCCACCAACCCAAAGGCCAGTGACAAAAATCGTCCCCAAACAACCGTACATATCATAATGGAGAAGGATCTCCGTCTGGAAAAGTGACACAAGACACACTGGGGAATGAAACGAGTATTCATGCTATTCCATACGAAGTCAAGCCACCGGATACAGTGCCTGTGAATTTCTGTGTAATCTTATTGTTAAAATGGATGCTTGGAAACCGTCGTCCTCATACACTAGATGGCTTATGGAAAGCACGGGAAGAAGGATGTGTTTTGAACATAATAACTTTACAATGGAGCTTTTTGCAATGGGAGTTACATTACATGGCTATTTTCAAGATGCAGAGTCGCCGAATGTAGACATGGACTATAGCGACGTGGTCAGGTTCCATAATTGTTTTCATATAACGTACTCAACCTCTATATACTTTCAATAAATTAATATTACTACTTTTTAATTACTTATTACAACGTTTCCCAAAAAGATTCATTCTGTCGCTTTGATTATAACAAATACGATTTACAACTCATGAGTGTTTGTTTCAGTTACCATTATTATTAAATAGTTCGTTATTCATAGAATAAAACATTTCTGTCTTCGAACTGATAGAGATCTTACAAGATACGCTCTAGCTCGACATTAAAGAGATTTTTAAAATTGTAGAATTAAATAGTTGTTGTTTAGCAGCAATTAATTATGACCAACTTAGAAACCAATTTATCAACTATAAAAACTTTGTTGTATTTCTCGAAATCTAAGTTAAACAATAAGGTTTATGATTTTGGCATTATATAGATAGTTTTAAGAGAGATTAAAGTGATACTGAAAAAGGCAAGACCTTATGAACCTTAGAAACTATAGTCTCTAATTAATATCTCGAATGTGCCGTTTCATAATAGAGCAGGAAAACAGCTTTTGTAATAAGCAATATTTATTGCCCACTTACTAAACGTGGTATAAAATAGTTAGAAAGCTGAAACTTTGTAATATGGATCACAATTAATGTTGAGAATATTCAGTGTACCACTCCAGCTACTTAATAAAGACACCGCTAGCAATTTCTTTCTCCTTTTTATAATGGAATAAAAAGGGTTTCTTCTGTAGCGACTCATCAGAAAATGCTAGGCCTACGCGTGAATTTTAAAAGTGTTCACGTTTATTTATTTATTTTCTTGCGTATTCATTGTCGTAATTTAAAATTATTGGATTATAGAAATTATGAACATTTTTTTTTCAAATAAAATTACTTGCTAATAAACTCCAATTTCCATTCCTAATGGCACTGACGGAGAGCAGAGGCGGGATATACTAAAAACCGGACGTCAGGTCAGACCCGCACTGGACTGGAACATTAAAAAGACACTGTCGAGAGCAACAACCTATCCCGATAATTTCAGTTAAATTACGATGTATTAGACGCCAACTGTGCAGAGCGGTGAAAATTTGCAAAAGGGCCTCAGGGGTGGGAAGGGAGTGAATTGAAATTGAAGTCAACAAAGAGACCAGGAAGTGTATAGAGGGAGGAGAGCAAGATGTAATATAAAAAAACCCGTGAATATCACATATTGTCCTTAATTCCAATGCATGTTTTGAAGACAGTATTAGTGTATGATGTCTTTTAAACATAGAAACATTAAAGGAACCATTGGGTTTCAGAGTTTTTAAGTTGTCATAGAATTGGTAGAGATGGCCAAGGTACTCAATAGGCATAATATAAAAATGTATGGTAAAAATCAACATAAGATAGAGCGTTTTAATTTATAAGATTATTGACACTCACTTTCATTTGTTTCTCTACCCAATAAGCCCAAAAGCAAGGCAAGAAACCATCGATAAGGTACCAAACCAGAAAGTGACCAACCCACCAAATTGTTAATTTTTTTTTCTTGTTGCAGTCGAGATAACTATACAACTACTTTCTTAATAACGTCAGTTTAAACATAAATCCACTCTATGTGTTTTTTGGGAGTGCACGATGTCATTAATTAGTAGTAGAGAGTAATAATAAAAAAAAATCATAATTCTAGCGTAAACGATGTTATCATTACCCCTTGAAGTGAGCATTTTTATATAAAATCCGATGTTCCTTTAAAAAGCTTAAGTACAGGGTGAAACAGGAATTAGATAATACAGCTATATATAGATCATCCCTACATGACTTTCAATATTAAACTTTAATGTTATACTGTAAAATGCATACTTGATTTTAATATTACTACAGTTGGAAGTTATATATTCCTAACTGTTGGTATACAGTTTGTTTATCATAATGCCATGGTCATGTCAGGGTAGGCATCAATGTAGCGTAACTAAGAACTTTAGACTTATGTACAAGGAAAATCAAGTTGTGTCAAAAACTGTCTTGATTATAACGGACTATTTCAGATTCTCGCTTTGAGGTCGATCGAATTGACCAACCTCGTAACCATTTTGTACTTGTGCATTTTACAGTGAAGCATTAAATTTCAATACTGAAAGTCATGTAAGGATGATTTATGTATAGCTGTATCATCCCTATATTCTTGTTTGCATTCTTTTTGGCATTGCCATCCCTACAGCATTTTACATTTATAAAATGTCAATTTTCAAATTTCTTGTTTATAAATTAGCAAACATTATACAGGCAATATTTAATAGAATATAACATAATAGGAAATATTTAAAAATAACATATTTACATTGTAAATCTTTACAGAAATATAAACGAAAACTCCACAAAAATTGTTTAACAAATGCTATCATTGACTCTAATATTGCCCCCAGTGGCACAGCGGTATGTCTCTGGACTTACAACACTAAAATCCTGTTTTCAATACCCGTGGCGGGCAGAACACAGATAGCCCATTGTGTAGCTTTGTGCTTAATTACAAACAAAATGACTCTAAGAATATTCATAAACAATGTATATCTATAAAAAAACAATTTTGAAATTAATAACGTTAACATATATTTCTACTCTGAAGTACCAAAGTTACCATATATATAAGTGGATTCTATTCCTTAATTAAATTCATTAACTGGTCATAGATTACAAATTGTATTATTACTGTAAAACCATTCAAAAGCACAACAACAAACGTTAAAGAAATATTTGAATAACAAAGCCCACCACCAGAAACTAAGGCATTTTTTTATTAGCTTGTGCTGAATTTCAACTAGAAAGATAACAAGACTGGAAAATACTCTTACAAACTACTTACCTATTCCTGTGAGAGGCCCGGCATAGTCAGGTGGTTAGGGTACTCAACTCGCACTCTAAGGATCTCGAGTTCGAATCCTCATTCCACCAAACGTGCTCGCCCTTTCAGCCGTGGGATTGTTATAATGTGACAGTCATTCTCACTGTTCGTTGGTAATATAGTACCCCAAGAGTTGGTGGTGGGTGGTGATGACTAGCTACTTCTGTCTAGTCCAGGGGTCACCAAACTACGGCCCGCGGGCCAGATCCGGCCTGCAAGGTCAGTTCATCCGGCCCGCCACTGCACTGTGCCACAAATGAGCTAAAATATAATTATTTATATGGAAATATCATATATTGTTGATAAACTTACCATGTAAAAAAAATTAAAATAAGTATAATTAAAAATGTCCAATCTGATTTTTGCATCTGACAGTAATATAAGTTTTTGAAAAATCGGTGAAATAAAAAATTCGGCGACTTTTTGCGACTTTAGATATCGGATCACTTTTTGTGTAAGTACCTG